GAGTTTTCCAGGTTACATCATCTTGGTTTCCTTGCACATTGTGTGAGATACAGCACCTAACATTATAGATGCTGTTACATAATAAAGGCTGTCCCAGGAAAATGGCGTCCTAAGACAGAATTATCCATTGTAGAACATTAGGACAGTCTCCTTTCTCATTGTTGTTCTGATCTCTGAAATTTAAACAAGAGCTAAATTACTTTAAAAACCAAACAACAAAAACTTTTCTTATTATAAACAAACACAGACGTGTTTTCAAAAACACAGACGAGAGTGCACTTAATGGTATAATGAATCCATCAGTTTCAACAATTATCAGCCCATTTTCTAGAATTGAGGCCTGCCCCATGTTATTCTGAAGCAAAATCCCAAACATATAATTTTATCTGCAAATATTTTGTATGTATTTCAAAAAAATTAAAGAAATTTTTTAACTCAACTGTGAAACAATTAACATTAATTTCTTAATATAACTGAATATCCAATGTGTTCAAGTTTCTAATTAGCTCATAAATTTCTCCTTCCTCTGTCCCTCCCTCCCACTCTCCCTCCCTCTATCCATTTCTTTCTTCCTTCCTGTTTGTTTGAATCAAGATCCAAAAAGGTTCACTGGTAGCAATGTGTTGCTATGTCCCCTATTTCATCTTTAGATCTTTATCTTAAGATCTTCATCTTATAGATCATTTGATCTATAGGTTCTCCTGTCATCTATTTTTATCCCTTATCCCTTACTTGTTTGTTCTGCGCATTTACTATGTACCGAGTTTGCTGAGTGTACCCTCTGATCTGTTTGTTCCTCTTTTATTTTTCTGTAAACTGGGGGTTGAACTTGCTGATTCTGTTTTTCTTTCCTTGGCAGGACTATTTCATAGGCAGTCTTGTGAACTGGACACGCACAAACACAACTTTATCAAAAAACTTTTCAAACACACACATAAAGAGAGGGAAGAGTATAATACATCCCTATATGCCTGTATTAGCTTCCTATAGCTACTGTAAAAAATTACTGCAAATTTTTTTTTAAATTTTTTATTGATTATGCTGTTACAGTTGTTCTATTCCCCCCTTCATTCCCCTCCACCCTACCCCCCCATCCCCACCATTACCCCCCCTTTAGTTTATGACCATGTGTCTCAATTCCTTTAGATTTTATATTTCCCATGCTATTCTTGCCCCCCCATCTATTTTCTATCTACTGTCTATGCTACTTATTTTCTGTACCTTCTCCCCCCTTCTCCTCCTCCCACTCCCCTGTTGCTAACCCTCCTTGAGATCTTCATTTCTATGTTTCCACTCCTGATCTAGCTGTCCTTTTAGTTTGCTTTTGTTTTAGGTGTGGTTGTTAATAACTGTGAGTTTGTTGTCCTTTCACTGTTCATGTTTCTTTAACTTCTTTTTCTTAGATAAGTCCCTTTAACATTTCACCAAGGGCTTGGTGATGATGAACTCCTTGAATCTGATCTTATCTGAGAAGCACTTTATCTGTCCTTCCATTCTAAATGAAAGTTTTGCTGGATAGAGCAATCTTGGTTGTAGGTCTTTGGATTTGATGAATTGGAATACCTCTTTCCAGCCCCTTCTTGCCTGTAAGGTCTCTTTTGAGAAATCAGCTGACAGTCTGATGGGGACTCCTTTGTAGGTGACTGTCCCCTTAGCTCTTGCTGCTTCTAGGATTCTCTCCTTCATTTTAATTTTGGCTAATGTAATTATGATGTGCCTTGGTGTGTTTCTTCTTGGGTCCAACTTCTTTGGGACTCTCTGAGCTTCCTGGATTTCTTGGAAGTCTATTTCCTTTGCCAGATTGGGGAACTTCTCCTTTATTATTTGTTCAAATAAGTTTTCCACTGGTGGCTGTGCCTTTCCCCCTTCTGGTACCCCTATAATTCGGATGTTGGAGCGTTTAAAGATGTCCGGAGGTTCCTAAGACTCTCCTCGTTTCTTTGAATTCTTGCTTCTTGACTCTTTTCTGTTTGGCCATTATTTGCTTTTTTCTGGTCCACTCCATTAATTTGAGTCCCAGTTTCCTTTTCATTGCTATTGGTTTCCTGTGCAATTCCATTCATTTCAATTAGTTTCACCTTCATATATTTGTCTAATTTGTCGGTATAATCGACCAGTTCTGTGAGGATCCTGATGACCAGTGTTTTAAACTGTGCATCTGAGAGTTTTGCTATTTCTTCATCGCTTAGATCTATGGGCTCTGGGGCTTTGAGATCTTCTTGCGACATTTTTGGTCTGTTCTGGCCCTTTAAGTGTGAGAAGTGGTGCCTTGGACTCTCAGGTCGCTGGGTTGTGACGCTGTATGTGGGGGCGTGGTCAGAGCGGGGAAATGGCGACCCCCTCTGCTGTTTCTCACAGCTGGGTGAGGATCAGCGCATTAGGTGGTTAACCCGGGCCGGGCCACTCAGAGTCGCTGGGTTATGACGCTGTATGTGGAGGTGGGGTCAGAGCGGGGAAATGGCGGCGCCCTCCACTGCCGCTTGCTGTGGGGACCCGCCGGGCCCCGGTCCAACCACCCACTCCCTCGCCTGTCCGCCCGCGCACAAATGCATGACCACAGTCAACACGCAGCACCGCTCCCCCCACTGTCTCCCCCGCTGTTGCTCGCCTGGTGGCTCGCTCGGTCGCTCACTAGGTCCAACCCTGTGCCTGGATTCCGTGAGTCTGGATTCCGCGCCTGAGTCCGGCTGACCGAGACCTCCTGTGCAATCCCGCTTCCCCAGCCGCTGGTTTCGCCCCTTACTGGTCAGGCTGAAGAATTTGTTGTTAACTGACTTCCGAAAAGTTCAATTTTCCGTGTTCTGGCTGTGTTTTCTGTTGCTAATATCTAGTTGTCTCTAAACTTGGTTGTGTGAGAAGGCACGGCACATCCACCTATGCCTCCATCTTGGCGGAAGTCCTCAAAATTACTGCAAATTTGGAGGCTTAAAACAACACGAGTTTATTCTCTCACAGCTCTGGAGGCCAGAAACCCAAAATCACAAGGTGCCATCTCTTTCCGGGACCCTAACTGGTACATATGTCTTTTCCTGACATATTTTATTTGATTCCATGTTGACCTAGTTGATTTGGTTGCTCCAGATTTCAAACAAGATCCACAGGTTGTATTTAATTTTTATGTGTCTTCAGTGTCTTTCGATCCAGAATAGTCTCCTCCCCATTTTGCCCCCGTGTGGTTGGCCTGTTGAAGGAACTGGATCAGCTGCCCCATAGAATGTCCTTTTCCCACATTCTGGGTTGGACCGCCTCTTCGCAAGGTTCTTTAACTTCTTCCTCTGTCCCCCTGTCCTCAGTTTTCTACAAACTGAAGGTTAGATCTAAAGGCTTGATTAGCTACGGAGTTGAAGATATTTTAAAGTAGAACTGACGGAGTTTGCTAACAATGGATGTGGGTACGAGAGAAAGGAGGGGTCAGCCTCGGCTTGCTCATTTGTTGATAATGATGATAATCTCCACCCACCTACCTGGTTTATTTCTAATCTGTAAGAGGTATTGCTGCGCATCCGCTGCACGGACATGTGTGAGAGACTATTGAAAACAGGCTGAACTCAGTCAGGTGTCTTTGAGATGGTGGCCACCTGGGGGCTGGCTGATCCTGGAGGTCCCCTCTTGGTTTGATGTCTCTCCTGGAGTATGGTGGCTGGAGGATGGCTGAGAAGGTGAAGCCAGTTTGGGGAAAGAAGTTCTGGGTTGGGGGGCAGAGTGAGGGCCTTGGATTTCAGGTGGATGCTTTGCATGAAGGTCGAACTTCATGGCCAGATCAGGCCGTCTTGTGTCTCAGGGCACTCAAGACCCAGAGGCCTCTAAGGGAGAGGAGGAGATGGCCAAACTGGGCCTTTTCAAAGTCCCTACCAGCAGGCCTAGGGAGATTTGAGGAGAGTGCAGGTGGTGGGGGTGTGAACTGAGGAAGGAAAGGACTCTGGGCAGGTGTGAGGGTGTGATGGACGTGGACCCCTGTGTGTGCATATGGGTGGAGGGAGGTAATAATGAGAGTCTTTGCATGGTACTATGTATTGGGGGTATGTGAGCATGCAAGGGTTATATGCACAAGTGGTTTGAGTGTGTCTGCCTGTGGGTGACAGGGACAGAGCTGGGGGGGAGGGAACAGGTCTTAGGGCTGAGGCACACGTGGACGTGTTTTGTCCTTTGAGATGTATTTTTGGCTTCGATAAGGGAACGCAGTAGGTTCCTGGTTAGCCAGAGGAGGCTTGCGCGGACACCCAGGGTGAATGGAGGCTGGGCCCCGTGCAGGGCGTCTGCAGCCTGCATTCCGCCGGTTCTGCTTTGCACCTGCTTTGCACCTGCCTTGCTGTGGGACACTGGCCTTGCCGAGACCTGCTTCCCTCTCTGTGTAGGAGGCCGCTGGAGCGACCGAGGGGCTGGCTTCCCTAGATAGTGTCCCTTACAGTGCCCCATCCCTGAGGATATGCAATCCATGCTGATTGAAAAATGAGTGGATAAATGGATTAAAAACCAAGGCAGGAATCTCCGGCCCATCCTTCACTTATGTGCGCACCAAGCCTCCGCCCAGCTGACTGTTCCACTCACACACGTGCACACACACACTCCCACTCCCAAACTCACCTCCCAGGGCTGGCACCTGCCCACCTCACTGGCCCACACCTGCTCACCCTCACTCGGCTCCCACTCGCTCCCACCAGCTCCCGCACAGGTTTTTGTGACACTCCTCTCCTCCCCCAGGTCTATAAGCTCTGTCAACAGGAGTTCTTCGGGCCCCTGCGTCTCGGTCACCAGGGATGCCCAGCCCAGTCGGTCCTGCCTCTGACACAGCGGCTCTTCTGAGTGACCTTTTCTCTTCCTTTTTGTGTTCGAGCCCTCTCACCCTTTCCTCCTCCTCTTTCTTTCTTGCATGTTTTTTTCTCTCACACTCATACACAGACACACAGACACGTGTGTGCACACACAGGCGTGCACTGTCTCTTATCTTTTCTTCTTTGCACTGCCTCGGTTTTTGCCCTCGTATCTCCTTGCCCCTCTCCTGCATTCTCTGTGAGTTTACATTTTTCTGCCTTCCTCCCTCCCTCTTTCACGTCATCCTGACGCCCTCTCACCCTGTTTTCTCCGTCTGACTCCTCTTCTTCCTCGCTGTCATGCCCTGTTTCTGTCTCTCTTGAGCACGCTCACTCATTTCTTGCTTTCTCTCTCTTGCATTTTCTCTCTCTCACCCCAGCTCCCCGGCCCGGTGGCTGCTGCCCCGACCCCATGCTGCCCCCTGCCCTGTGCAACACTTTCCACCAGTGTCCGGGGACTGGGTGACCCAACTTGGTGGTTCCAGTGGCGTCTGTCAGAGGGGCCTTAGGGTCACAGCGTTTCCTCCCAGGAGTGACGGGGCAGTGACATGCTGTTTCCTCACTTCTGCAATTTCCACAAAGCGCAGAGCCTGGGTCTGCACACAGAGAAGCTCAGATTCCCCCAGCTGTAGCCGCTGTTCCTCGTCCAGGTAAGGCGGGTCCCAGCCCTGGCTGGCAAGGGGGAGGCATATGAAAATGTCCTCAGGAGTCCAAGGTCATGTCCCTAGACTGCACCAAAGCAAATGGTGGTTCTGTTTTTAAGGAACTGTTTTGGCATCTTCCTCAGGCACAGAGTCTCATATTTACATAGAATTCCTCATGGGCAAACTTTCCTAGGGAATGCAGCTCCCCCCTCTGAGGCCAAGGCAGTGCTGAAGGGACCTCAGAGACCTCCTGGGAGGTGATGAGGGTGATGACAGCGGGGCCACCTCGATCTCAGGGAGCTAAGTGCCGGGCGCTTTACTACCTGTGTGACCGTGGCTAAGTTGCACCCCGCTCCCTGTGTCTCTGTTTCCTAAGTTGTCAAATGAGGATAAATCCATCTCCCCAGCAGGACTGTTGGGAGAGGTAGAGGATCTGGTATGGAGCTGGGGACTTAGGAACTCAGGAGACGCCAGGTCTCCTGGGGTAGGGATGATGGAGACCACCAGGTGATTGGTGCAGAGGGCCTGACCCACAACCAGTTTCCCCCTCAGGTGCCAAGTGGTAGGGACAGGGCACTGGCTGGCACCTGCCCTCCCTGCATCTTTCTCTGGCAGGAGGTGAACCAGGGCTGCTGCCCAGACACTCACTCCCCTGAGAAGAAGAAGGGAAACAACAGTCTCTCCCCAGGCGTTCGGGCGGCTCTAATTTAGCGCTGACTGAATATGTAGCTGTGTTCCAGGTGCTTGGAGTGTGTGTGTGTGTGTGTGTGTGTTTGGGGGGTGAGTGCTAGGGAAGAAAAATAAGCAAATGTCCCTGCCTTTAGGTCCTGAAAACACAGCCAAGGAAAGCCGTTCACTCTAGAGGTGAAGAAGTTGCCCTGGGCCTGAGCAGGCCACCAGGGTGTGGGTTTCAGCTCCTACTCATGAGCTGGGACCTTGGGCAATGCAGGAACCTCATTCACTTTTTTGCAGATTGGGGTTTAAAATGAGTAAACTCTTGTGGGCTTATGGGGAGGATGCAGTGAGAGGCTGGTTGGGAAGGTGCATTGTTAATCGTAGGATGCTGTACAAACTCGAACCCCAGGGTTACTACTGATACCGACCCTGTAATTCCTCCTATTAATAATGCCTTAAGGGTGAGGAGTTTGTTCTGTTCATTGTTTTATCCTCACCCTTAGCACAGAGTTTGGTGCCTCACTTAATCTTAGCATGTGAATTGAATAGATGAACGGTAAAGCAGGATGCTGAACTTGGAGGAGAATGGACAGTGAGCCAGGGGCCCATCCTCTGGTCCCAGGTCTGGTCCTGACACTGTTGTCACCTTGGGAAAGTCCTTTCTCTACTCAGCACAGATGGGGACTTCCGCCCAAAGAAGGTTTGGGCAAGGAATTGACAATCTATGGCATTAATGATGAAATGAGCCTTCAGCACTGAGTTTCTGCTCCTGATTCGTACCGGAGTGGGGTTGGGGTGTGATGAGAGGCTGGAGCCCCGTCTGTTTGTGCTTTCATAGGGAGACCTTTACAGAGAGACCTGCTCTGCTCCAGGCCCGTGAACAAGGCCTTGTTAAGAAGTCGGTGGTCCTCTTTATCAGCGCAGCCCTGACTTCCCCAGACTGGTCCCCCCTCCTTGTCCCAGTGGTGGGCCTCGAGAGCTGAGCTAGAGCCTAGGACCACACCCTGACTCTCCTGGGGGCGCGTGACTGAGGAGTGGAGCCAGTCCCCAGAACGACAAATGCTGGGTGCCCGGCGCAGCCACCTCTCTCAGCAGCCGCTGTTGGCTCCTTGGCAGCACGGTGGGAGGGGAAAGGAGCCTCTGGTTAACGCATGTGAGTCCGTGGAGGTGTGGGGTGCACTGGGGAGGTGCTCTGGCTACATCCACATGAGCCTGGGTCACGTTCAACCTGCAAGTGGGCCTGGCACAGCTCAGAGGTTCACAGATGCAGGGTCATCAACATAACAAGCTGAGAAGTTAATAGCAGTCTGTCTGCTCCTTTCTTCCCTTGTGTCTTCAGCCAAAGGGAATCCAGAACCAGGTTTTGTGTGTGTGTGTGTGTGTGTGTGTGTGTGTGTGTGTGTGTGTACACATGCATGCACCAGAGAGAGAGAGGGAGAAAGAGAGAGGAAGAATGGGCTGGGGAGGAGCACCACTCAGCGGCCCCTCCTCACCCCCTTAGTTCAACAGGAGGCAGCCACTCAGGGCCTGGGTTTGGATTTGAGCTTGGGCAGCTGACGGGAGAAGCAAGTCAGAGATTCATGCAGCTCTCTTTACAGTTTATAAAGTCCATTTCAGTTCACCAAGTGCTTTACAGTTTGCCAAAGCCTTTATCACTCCCCCAAATCTTACTTCCTTTTTGCAATACTTGGGGTGGGTGTGACACCCCATTTTGCAGATAATGATCCCAAGGCTCAGAGCCTGAGCAGAGACTCACTCGGATGGCGAGTGGCTGGCACTGCTGACGCCACAGCCCAGGCCCCCAGGGCCCAGTTCCTGCCATTTCTCCTCAGCCACCCCTGGTGGCTGTTTCCAAAGGAGGAGATGAGGCTGGTTTGGTGCATGGCTGGTTCATTTGCTTATTTATTCTCTTATTCATTCAACAAACATTTTTTGAGGTGGGGAAAAGGGGAGAGCAACTCCCAGCTATTGAACAACAACCATGCACACAAATTGCTTCATTTCCTCTTACAACTACCTGGTGAAGAAGCTTTTATATTCACCACTTTGCAAATTAAGAAAGAGAGGCTTTGAGAGCCAAACATCAGCTGGGAAAGAGCAGAGCCGGGTGCAGATCTGGCCCTGTGTGGTCGTGTGGTCCCGCTTGGGCCAGGCCCTCTGGACCCTCTGGACCTCTGTACCAGCAGGACTTGGAAACTTCTAGGCTACAAAGACATCAGTGTGATTCCTGGTACCACAGAGGGTGTGCCCTGTGCTGGGGAAGCCCAGAAGAGGAAGTGCCCGCCTGACTTCCAGGAGGCAAGGAGAGGCGAGGCTGACTTAGATAGATACCATCTGAGTATCTGGGAGCCAGAAGAAGAGACTCAGGACAGGCTTAGGAACCCCCGGCTCCACAGGGGTGTCCTAGTCGAGCTGAGTGAAGACTGAGTCTCATCGATGTAATAACATACCCCCGGTCAGAGTGGGCCCCAGTAAAAAGGAAAATTGGGTAATTCTGATACCCAGCCACCCCCAGGCCCCAGGCCCCCACTGGGGCCCACCAGGACCCCAGGCCCTGTCCCTGATCTTCCTCTGGGCAAGGAGCTCCATTTACCCATCATTATATATACCTGGCATAGTCTTAGACTCCTTGTACTGGAAACGGTGGGGAGCCCAGTGCAGAGTTCCCCAGAGGTCAGTATACTTGCTCCCTTAACTTGCTCCTCCAAGAAAAACAAAATTTTTTTAATATTTTTTTCTTAGGAAAAAAAAAAAGCCCGCCCCTCTGCTTCTTGAAGAAATTGTAATGAAACAGCTCCCTGAAGGGAATGTTTAGACGGTATGGCCAGCACGGCCAGGCCAGGGCACAAATGTCAAGCAACAGAGGCGGTCAGAATAGGAGGTAACTCACTTATTGAGCGCCTACTGTATGCCAGGTACTTTAGAGGTTTACCTGCCTGTAACCTAAGGGCTATCCTGTGAGGTTAGTGTTGGTATTGTTCTCATTTGTACAGGTGAGAAAACTTGGACTCACAGAAGGGAAACAATTCAACTGTGGTGTTTTAGTGGCTCCAGGGACACTGGAGGCTGGAGCAGCTGGGGGTGTGTGAGGGTTTGGAAGTGAAGGACGAGGGACAGTATGACTGTTTGTGTGTAAATGTATATGTATTTAGCAACTGTTTCTTGAGGGTTTGCTGCGTAGGAGGCCCTGCACTGTTGAAATGCCAGAAGCCTTGCACCCAGGGAAATCCCAGCCCAGAAGGAGAGAGAATGAGCAGCCGTGTGTGTTTTGTGTTATGGGAACCAGAGGTGGCACCTTGAACTCTGTCCGGGGTAGAGAAGTAAAACTAACCATAGCCAATATTCCCTGAGCTCTTGTTATGGATTGGCCATTTTCTATTGAATTCTTCTAACAACCCTATGAGGTAGGTAATATTATTACCACTATTATTCTTATTGTTTTTACAGATGAGTAAACAGAGGCTCATGGAGGGCAAATTAGTTTTCTTGGGCAAGAATCGGCTGATAGCGCGTCGTCAGTTGTCCCAGATGCCATAGAAAGTTGTCACTGGTTCCCAGAAGTTTCTAGGGTTGGTGACACAGCTGGGAGCCCGATGTAGGTGGCTTGGAGCTGGGTGAGCTTGGTGTGAGCCGTTGCGATGGCGGCGACATACGATTTTGAGGAACTTTCGATCTCATCTAACCAGAAGGTTTGGTTTCCTGTAGATACAGCTTTTCGCAGCTGTTGATCATGAATTCCTTCAGCTGTGCTAAGCACTTTACATATGTTGCTCATCAGATCTTCACACCACTCTGGGGGAGATATGTGCCTGGAATATTATCAGCTCCATTTACAGGGGAAGGATCTGAAGCTCCAAGAGTGATATGCTTGACTGTGGTTATTAGACGAGGATGGGGCAGAGGCAGGATTCGAACCCAGATTTGTCTGACTACAGAGTCTGTGGTCTGAACCACTGTCCTTTCCAAACACTTCTTATCTCCCTTGGGTGCTCACAAAACCTCTACAAGGAAGATGTGTTTCATCTCCATTTACAGATGAGGCTCAGAGAGGGGAAGCGGTTTTACCAAATGTCACACGGTTATGAAATCATGAAGCTGAGCCATAGATTGCAAGTAAAAAAGACACAGTGTGCTTGCAAATCTGCCATCTCTTGGGCCTGCTTTTAAAACTGATTTACTTTACTGTGCTAAAGAAACACACAAGATAAATTGATTCTCTTAACAGTCTTATTTTTTTAAATTACATTTTATTGATTGTGCTATTACAGTTGTCCTGATTTTTCCCCCTATGCCCCCCGCCATCCAGCACCCCCACTCCTTCAGGCAATGCG